CCCAAACCATTCCGTGATTTTATGAAACACTTTCTATTGTCAGTACAGAGAGAGTCTGTCTAGCCAGCTACAAAGATGAATACTTAGAAGCTGCTCAGCTTTTAGCTGAGACCAAAATCCCTGAGCCAGTGATATAGAATGCATAATACATGGGCTGCTCCTTTCCTCCTTCCCAAGCCACCTGTCTTGCAGGAGCTGGCTGAGGCACACATGTCATCCTCCAGCCATAATTTTTACTGCCGAGTGGTGTGGCCCTGGTTGTTATTTCAGTGGAATAGAGAGAAATCTCCCGGATGCAAAAGTAAATTTAGTGAAGAAACAGGTTTGTTGTCATACTGCAAGAGCACTGGTACTGCCTTGGAGCTCTGCAGAAGCGACATCTGCAGCTGCTACCTCCTGCTTCTGTCCCGTCAGTGTGCCTGAGCCTCAACTCGCCGGGACACAGCTCTGAGAAGTTAGATACTGCAGAAAGCAGATTCATTCCCTCCTCCCTTCTCCCACTTTGCATTAGTGGGGCCTAATGACAGGTATTCAGTATTTCAAACCTTAAGGTTTAAAACCCAGGAGTTCAAAAGTTCATAAGGTTGAACTTTTCTCTTTTTTCATACATAAAGAGAAAATAATACATTTTGGCTTCTTTTACTAGCTTTCTGTTTTTCTGAGCCATTTATTCCTTTCTTCAAGCTCTTCTCCAGAACTTCAAGGGCTTGAAACTTTCTCTTAAATGAAAGCTGAGATTCCTCCCTTTATTGCATGGCTTTGAGTGCAGGAGGCTTTAAAGAAAACATCAAATATTTTGAGACTTATAATAAAATCACATCAGCTGGCAACATGGAGTTATTGTGCCTTTTAATCTGTTTGCTTTCTTTTTCTGTGTTTTTGTTTGTTTGTTTTTGTTGTTGTTGTTTTTCAGCAAGGGGGCAGCATTTCCTTCCCACCCCCACCACCCCCTCCTCCAGGTGGCCCATTGGCTTTGTCCTCTTCTCACATGTCTGAGAATTTGCTGCCGCTGCCACCTCCTCTGCCTTTCTCCAGCTGTCCCCCTCCTCCTGCTCCACCACCTCCTCCAGGAGGACCTCCTCCCCCTCCAGGAGCACCACCTTTCTTCAGCATGGGGATGCCACCCTCTTCAACATCCACCTTCAGCAGCAGTGGCACCGGACTGAAGAAGAAATCTATCCCACAGCCTTCACACCCACTAAAATCCTTCAACTGGGCTAAACTGAGTGAGGTAAGAAATTGCAGTACTCTCAGCAATTAATTTACTTTCTAAATATTAACTCAGTGTTGATTAATGCCCTGAAGTGCGAGATGATGGGAGCGAGTGATACTGTGGCATTCTGTGGGCTGAAGTCAGTGGCAGTCAGTAACTGTGTTGAGGGAGTCTCCCCGGTTCTCCAGCAGTGCAGCATATCTCCTGTGATGAACACGGTGCCGGTTAGATTGAGCCACAGTAGATCTGGACATGCTGGAGGTTAGGCAGGGCTGTAGGGTGACAGAATACATAAGCCAGATCTGGATATCTGTAGGAGTGGTGTGCCAGAGCTGCCCTCACTTGTGTGTCAGGGGTAAGGATGGCCAGAGCCAATGCAGACAAAACATGGTGAGAACCAGCTCCAAAACCAGCTTCTCTACTCTGGCTGGAGTCATCACCAAGGAGAGAAAAGTGGCACGATTCTTCTCACCATTTGTTCATGACCATGAAGGAAGCTGCCCTTCTCTTTGCGTGCTCTGTCTCTTGGCGCTAAAACTTCAAATGGCCAATAAAAACAGAGGACTTGGATTCTTCCTATTGCATTCATTTTCTGCTACCTTGGTTGCCTCTCCTGCCACTCCACTTCTCTCTATTCTTTCTCTCCTTTTTTTTTTTCCCCTCCCCTTCTCTTTAGGTCTTAATATTTTTAAAACTGATTTAGAAAGAAAAAAGTGTCTGTGTTGAGTTTGGATGGCTGCCTAGAAACCCAGGTTCTCTTTTAGACTGAAACTCACCCAGGGCCCAACTCCGGCATTTGAAATGAGTGTCCAGGGACCTCTGGAATGCCACAAGAATTCTCTCTCTCCCTCTCTCCTTTTCTTTAAAATAAAGTGAAGTGAAATATTTGCTGCACCGTCTGTGCTTGTCTGTCAAGGCCACGTGGGGGGTGTGGGAGAGAATGTAAGGACGGGGATTTATTTTCCTTTGCAGAACATGTGACTTAGTGCTCTGAAGAAAAGAAATAATAACTAATATATGTATATATATGAATGTATATGAAAAAGAGAGTCACAGGTGTTTCTGTTTAGTGTACAGTAACTGTACGCTTATCCTGCCCTCTGGTTAGGAGTGAAGGCAGCTGTGCTAATAAAATTGAAGACCTAGGTGGTGAGGTGGGTAAAAGATGCTATTTTGAGGAAGGCAGAATAGTTGGGGAAAGGGGCATAAGAAGGTGGGAGCTCCATTTTGGGGTGTTTGCCACTGTTAGTGTTTTGATCTAGTAAGGTCTCTGCAAAACTGCAGAGGTTTTGATGCAGGTGTCTTGCTTTGTTATTTGGGGTGCACTTTGTTATGGAATTATTTAATTCCACTGACTGCTGGAGGAGGTGATACGTTCTGGCCATCATCATCAGTTAACCTTTCTTTCTGTCCACATGGATATGAATCTTCTGAACATAGTCCTGTTAGGTCAGATGGCCTCATCTTGCTTTTGTTACCACTGTGGGACTTGTGGGTGTTCTCCTGAGCTGTCATAGTAGACACACGTGAACGAAGGCTCAGAACAAGCACACTGGCTGGGAGCAATGTATCTTGAGTTTTTGAGCATGGGAAACTGAGGTCTGGAAGTGTGCGTAGTATTATTGTGGTTTGTGGTAGTGTTTAACATCCAGTTCACATGAATACAAGTTTTCCCCACAAAAACATTTTTAGGGAAAATACATCTGACACTATGCATATGTTTTCCTTTTCTAAAAGTCCAGTCTAGTTAATGAAGAGCATGGACATGTCTGCACCATGCAGCACAGTGATGTGTGGTGACACAGCATTGGAAACAAATCTGTACACACAGTTAAGGCTGCAGCCGCGTCAAATACATTATTCAGCTCTTAGGTATCTCTGAATACTGTTTAGACCATCCTTCTTAAAGCAGTTAGTAATGAGTCTCTCTCCTAAGATTTCTTAAGTGAAGATGGTGCCAGGATGATGCCAACATGAGTGAAGCCTTTCCTGTCCATGCAGCCAGCCTCAAGGGAGTGAGAGAAACCCGACAGAGCCTGAGAGGAGTGTGGACGGGGCTGGCTGAGAGGGATTTGTCTGTGATACACTTTCTCAGTAGTGGAATCACAGCTGTTCTCCCGGGCACTTCATATGACACCTTTCTTCCCAATGCTGATATTGACTTTGGAAGGAAAAGACTGAGCTGTTGGGTGTTAGGAGAATGATCAAATGTATTTAAACTCTTAGCAGTTGACAATAACAGATTGTCCACAGTCCTCATGGGCACCATGAAAAAAGGTTTGAGTGGAAAGTATTTTGTGCTTCTAACAAGGAAAATCCAGCAACCCACTAATTTCCTTTGAAAATTAAAGATTTTGCACTAGCTTTGATGTGAGCTGATGATCAGTGGCGAAGCCATTCAGACGCATGGATGGGCCGAGTTCTGGTGAAGCCCTTCCACACCACAGTTCCATTCATATGGCACTGTAGCGTCGTCTGTGAATTCCATTCATACAGCACACCAGTAGTGCTGGTGCCAAGGATCTCTGCTTCTTAAGAAAAAGATATTGCAATGTAACCACTGTAATGTCCTGGAAAGATTCCTTCCTTTGTTTCTGGACAGCAAGTGGAGTTTGCTCTCCCACTCTGAATTTTACAAAACACCCAGGGTCAAACATGGACCAGACATTTATGGTTAATCCATAAATGGATTGGAAAGACTGGTTTCAAGCACACTGGAAGTATGGATTAATATAATTACCTCTTTAATAAATACAAACATACTGATTAGAAGTTATCAGAGTAAATCAAGTTAACCTTCAGCTGCACTGCTTGTTATCTCATGGCTGGAGAAGCAGCTTCCAATTAGGAGTTAGGCTGGTAATGACTCTAGTCAGTGATCTGAAAGGGACTTTCTTTAGCCAGCCATAAATAGACCTGGGTGAAATTGTCTCAGAGGAAAGGTATTTGTTCTGTATACTACATAGGATTAAAAAAATAATAATGCTATACTCCCCCACCCCAAAAAATAATCACATAAACAGGTGTTCATTGTGACACTAATTAAAAAAAAAAAAAAGGTTCTGTAATGTTACTGATGATTCTGATTTTTGGAACTTTCTTCCCAAAAGCAATCTGAGGGTCATGATGAACAATGACACAGTACTGCTGCCAGAGATTCAAAACTGATGGAAGAATTTCTACAAAATCTCAATGTGAAGCTACTCATAATAGCCTTGGTGGTGCCTAGTCCTACAGTGTGATAAAAGAGCTGTCTCAATTAACAAACATGCCAGAAATACAATTTTTGCTCAAAGTGGATTTTTCTTACACTGAGGAAAGGATCTGATACCAAGAGGGAAATTTGAAAAATGCACTCTGTGCATTTTTGAATACTCCGTATTCAAAATTCATAATGGGATTAGAAATCAAAATTATAAGTTGAATTTTGAATACTCCGTATTCATTTTGAATACTCCGTATTCAAATTCATAATGGGATTAGAAATCAAAATTATAAGTTGCTTCACATTTTGATGCTCACTGTTTTACAAATATTAACATACTAATAAGCAGTATTGCCTGCTCCAGTATTCACAGGACACTCATAGTTTCTATGGTTTCTCTAGACTTGCAGGACAAATGAAAGGCTTTGCCAAGGTACTGTAAGTTTTCACTCATGCTGTGAGGTTGTTGAGGCATGATGGACTTTGGTGGCTTGCAGAGTATCACTGTTTGCCTTTCAGGGTAAATAAAATCATCTGTTAGATGTAGCAGAGGACAGCTTGATATGATTTGTAGCTCCATGAAACACTGTCATTCTCTAATCATGGTAGGTCTCTTGGCAAATTGGGCTTCATTACAAAGGTGGAATGATGTTGTGGTTTAGGCCCAGATGGCACCTAAGCACCACAAAGCCACTCGCTCACTCCTCCCCGATGGGATGGGAGGAGAAAATGTAAGGAAAGGCTCGTGGGTCAAGACAAGGACAGGGAGGGATCACTCACCAGTTATGGACATGGGCAGAACAGGCTCCACTTGGGAGAAAAAAAGTCAATTTAATTAGTTATCAATCAAATCAGAGTAGGACAATGACAGACAAAACCAGATCTTAAAACACCTTCCCCCCATCCCTCCTTTCTGCCTGAGCTCAGCTTTGCTCCCCATTTCTCTACCTCCTCCCCTCCAGCAGTGAGGGGAATGGGGGTTGTGGTCTGTCCATCACATATTGTCTCTGCTGATTCTTCCTCCTCACACTTTGCCCCTGCTCCAGCATGGAGTCCCTCCCACGGGAGACAGTCCTCCACCAACCTCCATGGCATGAGTCCTTCCTACAGTCTGCAGTTATTCACAAACTGCTCCAGCATGGGTCCCTTCTATGGGGAGCAGTCCTTCAGGAGGAGCCTGCTCCAGCACAGCCTTCCCACAAGTCATGGCCTCCTTTGAGCATCCCTCTGCTCCGGCATGGAGCCCTCCCCCGGCTGCAGGGGCATCTTTGCTCCTCCATGACCCTCCATGGCTGCAGGGGCACAGCCTGCCTTCTCACCATGGGCTGATGGGGAACCTCTGCTCCAGGCACCTCCTCCCGCCTTTCTGCACTGACCTGGGTGTCTGCCTGGTTGTCTCTTGCACGTCCCACTACTCTCTTCACTGCAGGTTTTTCACAGCAGGTATTTTCCCCCCTCAAATATGTTATCCCAGCAGTGCTACCACCATCACTGATGGGCTCAGCTGTGGCCAGAGGCAGGTCTGACTTGGAGCCAGGGAGCTTCTAGCAGCTTCTCACGGGAGCCAGCTCTGGTTGCTCCCCCACTACAAAAACCCCACCACACAAACCCAAGACCAGTGACATAACTGCAGCGCTTACAGTGAGGAAATTGTTAAATGCAATGTACCAAAAACTCAGCTTGATGGAGAAAACACCTTGTCAATACTTGTCCTGCTAATAAGACGTTTCCTTTCCTAGTATGTGCTACCACTTTGCTAGGGATTGCTGGGAAATGTAGTTCGTAAGATTTGCTTCTCAAAAGGGGCTGAGACTTTGCAAAGCAGAGGAACCACAGATCTGGGAAGATTTGTATGATGAATGAATAAATAAATAAACACAGGGAGAAAAGCATCTTACAGCTGAAGTGACTTTTTTTTTCCTTTTTTTTTTTTTTAAGGAGAGAGAAAAAAGGAAAGAAGAAATAAAGAATTTACTGTATTTTAAAATTGTTATTTAGGGACCATAAATATTTTTTATGGTGCTGAGGGAATCATTTATCATAGCAACCACATTATGCAAGCCTGTTTCTCTTAAAACACTCAGTCTCTCTGGCTGATGACAAGGAACTATCAGCCAGTTAATCCATAACTGAGTAGCAAGAGCTCAGTGTAGGAAATTATCTGGCAGCAGCATGAAAGTTTTCAAGGGCAGAGCTTAGGGTAGAAATAGAAAGGACAGCCCCAGTGTGTTTTGTGTAACAAAGGTTGTTTATAGGTCTGCCTGCTTCGTTTTTTCTTTGCCTGATTAGCCCATTTGGTTTTTAAGCACTAAAGCTGGGTTGCTGGGGTCAAAGTTCTGTATGTACACACCATTGCAATGGGGGCTGCATTGGAATTTGTCTTTCTACTGCAAGTAGCATACAAACCATCCTGTACAGGACCAGATTAAGACCTGGGTCTTAAAATGAATCTGAATTGAGAATTATTTTCACTTCCTTGGGTTTTTTTTCTGGAAAGTATAGAGAAGAACTACTCTCTGCAATCCCTTTGTAAGTCTCAGATCTGCCCATTTTGGCACCTCTGCAATTCATTCAGACTAGCCTGTTCTGTAGCACGTTTTCAGTGTTCTTGCCATTTGTGGGGAAACTTCACTCCCATGAGTTTTGCAGCTGGACAGGTGGGTGGGCAAGACTCTCATGAGTAGCTGTCTCTTGAGTCACATCCAGCTCTCTGCCAAACAACATACAGCTTTTTGGCATCCTTGGAGCTCTATCCCAGTGATGACTCTGAGGACTGCCTGCTCCTGAAGTCATGTCCACTGGCTACTGTCAAGAAATATTCTTCCACTTCAGTGTTTGATGGGACAATGTGAAACAGTGAGAGACTCGGAGAACTGCTCTGCCATTTAAATACATCCCTCAGGATTTACAATTCAAGGTTTATAAAGCCAGCCTGGAAATTGAATGAGTATGAACACTGCCTGGATGCTTCTGGCTAAGATTGGCAGTAGACTCCAGGGTTAGGATAAAATGAAAATTAACTTTGTTTCCTATTCCTTTGGTTGAGATGAGTCTCCCAAACTCGTTAGTCATGTTTCAGTCACAAGGTCATGTTTTTCCTACTATGGAGAAGAGCCAGGCTGATTCCTAGGAATGATACCATGATATTGGTGAGCCTGTTGAGGGATGGGTGCTGTTCTCCTGTGGTATATGCCCTCACTGTAAATAGCACTGTAGACACCCCTCCCTGCCCTCAGGCACTCACAGGTTGCCACTGGAGGGAGGGTGTTGGTTTTCTTCCACTGTGTCTGCCCTGCCAGGAATTTCCTCCAGAAAACTTCACACTTTTATTTCCCCCTTATTTCATCCTCCCATCAGGTGTTTTTCCTTGCTCCTTGAGCCTTGTGGCTTAGCACATTTCCCTCATTCCTTTGATGATGGTGAATGGGAAGTAGAGCCTGTTCCTAATTAGTTCTGATAATGAAGTGTTAACGCACTTTGCTGTGTAGGTACAAGTCAGGTACTTCAGAGCTGGAGCTTGTGTGAGGTTTTCATTGCTATTGCTTGCTGTTCCTGGCTTTCTCAGCATGAGTGGTTTGCCAGCTCTTCATCTCCTGGGGTTTGCTTAGGTCCCTCTACAATCCCTTCCACCCATTTCCTTTTTCTTTTAATCAACACCTTTGCTATTTTTCCAGTTAATAAAGTGCAGTACATGTACACTTCATTAAATGAACTGAAAGACAGTGTTGTCAGTTATAAAGGGCAAGTTTTCCTTTTCTGAATGGGTAGTTGCCCAAAGCTTGTCCCACACAACGTGCACCTTAAATATCAATGGGATGGAGAAATAGTTCAGTCTTTGTGTCCTCTCTGCCAGCAAGGACACCTGTCCTGAGAATGTCAGCAGGAGATTCCAAGGCTGTCTCCTAGTTTAGGATGTCTGCTGATTAGCTAATTCACATGCTAGAAGAGCTTATTTGGTCCAGGGTTTGTGGACAGCAAAGTTGGAGGAGGAGTGTGTGCCTGTCTCCCTCCATGATAACCATCTGCCGGACAGTTACAATTCCCTGGCATTCAGGATAATGTGTCACATGGATTGTGAACATTTCCAGTTAGGTGGATGATGCTCTTTTAGAGATCTGCATATAGTTTGTGTCAGTCTGAGTCAATAAAGAACTCGTGTAGACAGAGGAGATCATGTAGTAGGAAACAATTAGACTTCAAAGACTCAGAGCCTTAAAAGTAAAATAAAGTCTTAAACTACTTTCACAGGCAGGCAGAATGAAAACCAAACACCCTTTGGGGTTTACAACAGAACCTGGCAAAATTTGCAGAAGGGAAGATGTGTCTGGGGTTTGTCATGCATCAGTACCCTTCCTAAGCTTTTTCCTCATGATGGTAACACTTCTTTCAGTGTGACCACAGTCATTCTGTTAGATAGATGGCCACTCTTGAAAGGAAACACTGTGGGATCATGGCTATTGCTTGAGATGTGGTCTGCTAGTCTTGGAATGTGCCCTTTCATCAGAGGCTTGCTGTGATGAAAAATACAAAATACTTAGTATGTTTAAAAAAAAACCCAAAACACCACTATGTTTTTTTTGCCTTTTACTCTTGAAACAAAGTGTGCCCTCTAAATTGACAGCAGCAGTACACAGGAATATTGCCAGTGAGTGGGAGAGAATGATCTGTCCAAATGGGATTGGATGTTATTAGCTAAAAGTTTTTGCCATCTCATTAAAATATGACCTTTTCTTTCAGGAGAGGATCCATGGCACAATCTGGAATGAGATTGATGATTTAAAAGCGTTCAAGGTGCTGGATCTAGAAGATTTTGAAAAGATGTTCTCCGCCTATCAGAGACACCAGGTAGGGGTGAACTCTTCCACACCTTGTCTTCCTTGAATTTCTGAAGGAGAAAAGAACACATGATGTGGGCCCTTGTCCACCTGCAGGCAGGCTGCATCATTTGCTGCTCTGCCAGTGTTCAAAAACTCACGAGACTAAAAGAAATGGGGAGGTCATGTAGGGCAGAGTTTATCCTCCTGTTACCAACATACTTCATGCTAATGGGCAGCTCTCAGAGACAGCAGCTCCCAACAGGTAATGCTTTATTTGATCTCAGCAGCTGCTGGCTTCCAAAAGCTCTGGAGCTTTGCATTCATGCTTGATATCCATTTTTCTGTTTCTCCTATTCATCCAGAGAAAAAGTCCATAGTTGCCCTTTCACTATGCCAGATGACTGAATTGTCTTTTGCTTTGTCTATTTTTCTTAAACAGTCAACTGACCCAACTGGCTAGGTGACAGAAACTGTCTGAATTACAGATTATAACACAAACAACATACTTAAAAGCAGAAATCTATGAGAATGTCTTTTTTTTTTTCCTCTTTTTTTCTTGGAAAGCAAGTCACCTTCAATCTGTCTATCTCTGCTGAATTAGGTTTAGCAGGAGGGGGATTGTACTTGCACTCCCTGAACTCCCTCAGGTTGCCTTTGCTTTTGGAATGTGTGTGGAGAAATTGAATCTTTTGTACTCTGCAGAACTAGATCATTGCTCTGAAGTTCTAGCAAAAGACACAGACATGATTGCCATAAACATCTTTTATGATTAGGCATTACAGTGATGATGACTACTTCATTGACATCGTGATTAACTTATTCAGTACCTTAAAATTAACAAACAAACCCTTTGTCTTTGGACTTTCCGTCTGTTCCCTTCTCTCTCAGTTTTCTATCTAACCCAATAAACATAATGAATAACTCTTCTGATTTACTAGCTCACAGCCACGTAGATAAACATCCCAAGTTGAACTTGAAGAATGTGAAATTACCCATTGCATGATGAGATTTCATCTCTCATCCTGCTCCTGCAATTAGCTGTTGCTGTTTCAGTGAGTCCCTCTCTTTTTCTGTGAATACCATTACCTGAAACAAGAACCCAGTTCACAGAGGGGAAGAAAGACATGTGAGACTTCATGGATGTTACAAGATTGGACTTAGAGCCTGTGCCAACAGCTTAGCTGTGGTGGTGAGCTCCCAGTTGCCTTGCAAGTAGCCTGACTGTCATCTGTGCCCATGAGTAGCCATGGCAGCATCAAGGTGCCATTCCAATGTCTCAGGTACAAACATCACGGCTTCCTCACTAGAAATGACCTTGCAAAGCCTTGCTTCCTTTGGGCCTCAAAATCCAAAGCCAAAGCTGTCCTGGTTTGCCAACTCTCAGTTAGAATCATAATATTTATGGCTGTGTTACCAATCACAGAAAAGCAGCCTGGCCTATTCAACCGTAAACTAACCCGACCCTTACCCCTGCCCACTGGAATGGAGCCATCATCTCAGTGACCTACATGGGTCCCAGAACAGTTCTCTTCCATCCTCATTAAACACACTTTATGACAGTGGCTCCAGACACTTAGAGTGTCACTTATGTGAGCTACTATTTTTGTGTAGTTAGGTGTATTGATGCCCTTCCAGCTTTCATTGAGGGTTTGGAGTTTTTTTCTCCCTTAATATTCCATTGCTTTATGTGATATGTTCTTTTTCATCCATACTCACTCCAGTATGAACTGAATTCCAATCAACAAGTCCTCATCAATTTTCTTTTTCCTTTTTTTTTTTTTTTTTTAAAGATCAGGCAACCAAAATTTTTTTTGAATCAAAATCTTACAAGAACTTTTCCAGTTGATTCACACTTAGTCTTTTCTCCTCTTTTATTTTTGAAAATACTCCACTCTGGCCAAGTATGTGTTTACCCTGGGTTTGTGACTTTTAAACTTCATCCAAATGTCTGTAAAGAAAAATGTCACCGCAAAGCCCTGCTCTTTTGCATCTGAAATGTTGAATGAGTACAGATAAAGACATTTCTTTCTATGCTGTTATTAACGTGATCTTTTTTTTTCCCAGTTTCATTTACATTAAACAGCTTTTCTTTTTTCTTCATTTTTTTAATGACAGAAGGTCTCTTCTTCTCACTCAAGCCCAGTGTATCATTTTTTGTGACTCTGAGGGAAAGCAGAATTGTCCAGTGTACAGAATGCTGGACCAAGAATCCTTAGGCTTATTTTTTGACCTTACTCCAGTCTTACTGTGTAATACTGACCTTTTGATTCAGTATAGCTGGTGTTTTCCTGGAGTATGGAATATGCTGTGAAATAGTTGGTGTCTGTCACCCCGTAGTGCTGTAAGACTTCTTTGGTAGTTACAGAGTGCTTTCAAAATACTTGGCTATAAGTTGTTAAAGGATATAAGGGGCCTTTGAAACAAATTGTCGCTGATAATGGTAAACTGTGCCAGTGCATCAAGAGAGCAGAACTGACCCTCTAGTTTTAACCTTGGCCGTTCTTTCAGTAAGGCTCAGGTCTAGATTTGTAAAGGTATTTAAGCATTATACTAGTTAATGTTTTAAGACCTAAGAGGTTTATGCTTTGGAGGCTGAATTTATTCCTTTCAGAAAAGACCTAAAACTCTTAGTTTTCCCCAACATCTGCCAATTTAAACTATGCAATGAAATGCTGAAATACCTTTGAATCATCTGGGCCAGTATTACTTGCTAAGCAGTTTATTCTCTTAGAAAACAGCGTGTGTCTATATTCGGCTGCCTCGTTAAACTTGTTGTCTTTCTCTGTACCTAATTTTTGGCCTGTTTCCTTCTTTGTTGCTTGTGGCTGCTGCCTGCGTAGGACCTGCTAACTAACCCTTCCTCCTGTAAGCAGGTGAGTATCATTGTCTGCCTCCTGATCCTCTTACAGTGTGTGAGAAGGTGAATTCCTGCGCCATGCCGTTATGGGGTCATGACTTATCTCATGCTACTCTTCATGTGCCCTTGCACCTCTACTTTCTAGCTGGGGAAGGTGGTACTTAAAAGTCCTTATTTGTATTAGCTCTGTGATAGGAATTAGTTCCTGTTCTTTCACTTAGCTATAACCTCACTGTGGTTTCTGCTGGTGTCTGTAGTCCCCTTTTTGATGATCCTGAGGAAAAAGACTGTGGACAAAGTAGAATGGGAATGTGAACTCTCCCTTAACCAAAGTAACAGTGTCTCTAGTGGAGAACAAAAGGGGCTCTCAGGGAGCCTTTGCTCCCACAGTTCTCATCTGCGGTCCATCTGCTTTGGACAGTACCAAAGTCTCCAGATGTATTCGCTAACCACAGACTTTCTGATAACGAAAATCTTTCTTTCTGTAGAACTGGAAGGCACTTTGGTTGGGCTGAAGGATTTGTGCCAGCTGAGGAGCAGAAGGGGTAGACTGGAGGAAAGCCTTCTTCATTTCAAACTGCTGAAACCCTCAGAAAGTTCAGTGAAAGACTGAAGTGGTGCTTAGATGAGGCAGAGATATCAGACTGCTCGTATGTCTTCAAACAGGCTACCTCTCAATTTATTAATCATCTTAAGTAAAATTCTTGGCAACACTTTTGGGAAGAGCCCTACTCTCAGAAGAGGGTTGTTCACATGTCATCACAAGTGTCTCCGGTGGCTTCAGAAGACAGTAGTCTCCACCATGAATGCTCAGGGAACTGTATGTGGAAAGTCTGGTCAGGACCTCTGCCACAGGGTCAGGCTAATACATGGCTCTGGGCCATTTACTGGCTTTCATCTTGGCAATGCGCGCCATGAAAGAAGTAAATACGGTAGAAATAGTTCCCTAAAGTATTGATAATTACTGGAACCTAGGGTGCAGCCATGGTACCAGACCACAAGTTCTGCAGCTAAACAAAATAAAACTGTATTTGAAACAGGGCAGCAATATGATGAACACATTCTGCATGTCTAGTTATCCCAGCACTGAAATTTTAGTTAATTTTTTGAATTTGCAGTTAAAACCTCGAATCTGAAATACTTGAAGCACATATTATGTTATCCCAGATGGAAAGTTGGTAAAGAATGATGGGGTAAAACTTTAGGGATTTTGTCTGTCAGGCTGACAACAGTTCCAACTACTCTTGCTTTGTGTGCTTGGTCTGTCTCACAAAAGCTGGTCACTACTGCCCCCTTGCTCCTCTTGTGCCGTGTCTAAGAAAATGCAGGTAGTCCACATGCAATCTGTTTTCCTTTGGCTGAACTGGCAATCTGGCTTCAGTAAAACCTGAGGCTTCATCTGCTTTTGCTTACACACAACTCCAAGTATCTATAAATATCTCTCTCCTCAATATGAGTTGTCGAGAATATATTTTCAGATGAGACTAGCCCACTCCTTATGACCAGGGATTGGGCCATGTCTGAATGGTTCAAGTTATTCATCAGTGTTCAGCCTTGTGGGTTGGGGAAATGGAAATGCCATGGAGGACTATTATACCAACCCCTGCAGGCTACACAGCTTTAGTGAAAGCCATCTAAACCCTCACTCCACATACACAGCCAAATCCTGAAACAATTTGATTCTTTTCCTTGGTACGGGTGCTGGTTAACACTAACCAGGTGTTTTTGTCTGCAAACACTGACTAGTGAGGGACAGTGAAGCTTTTGAACCAAGACCACAGATCAGCGAGGACCTTTCTGACCTTCAACCACTGCCTACCTCCCCATTCCCCTGACTTCCTCCCAACAAAATGAGGAGACTCAGGAAAACTTCTCTATATGCCAGTTTATACTGGAGGTGCCCTGCTTTTTTGTTTTGTTAGTTGCTCTCTCACAAATAATAAGCTTGCCCAATGTCCATGTTTTCCCTTTTTGGAAACACTATTTGAATTATCAAGTAAAGTTGCCTTTTTTTTTTTTTTTCCCTGCCAAGCTAGCCACTTTGGGCACATCCAGCAGAATGATTGTGTGCATGTCTTCAGCTGGTGCATTGTACCTGCTTAGAGATGCCACTTGGTATCAGTCGTGGCTCACTGCAGCACATTTGGATGTGGTTGTACAAATCCCTTGTGTATCCAGGAGCAACACAGGCTCATTTTAGCTGATTGTACCAAGAACTCAAATGGCAACTAGTAATATGATTTCTATGATTTACATTCTACTCTCAAATATTTGGGCGTCAAAATCTCTTGGAGTGGGTTAGCCATGCTGATATAAGTAAGCCCTGAGCTGCAGAACTCTGAGTCCTGGGAGTGAATCCTGGGAAGCAGAATGCTTGCCATGATCTTTCCCTCGGTATCTGCTGTTGACCACTCTCACAGACAGGATACTGGCGCAGATGGACCTTTTGATCTGACTCTGCCTGCTTGCTGTCAGAGAAAGAAGGAAGTCATGTTGCTAATTTGATGAGTGTATTCAAAGCTAGATTATCTTGGTAAATCTCAAAATCTCAAGGCATGATAAGATGGATATCACGGAAAGGTGTTTTGAAGAGGTTCCAGCAGTAGTTAGCTGGGAAAATAAAAACTGTTCTGTTTCTAGTTCCCTCTTCTCTCTTGGTAACTAGAGAACTATTTTTGAGGATTAACACCTTTTATCATTACTTCTATTTCCCTTTAAGGAATGGTCTTAAAGAGACTCAAAGTAACTACAGAAAGCCAGTCTCTGAAAGTTAAAGTCCCATGATTCTGGTATGTAGGCAGGACAAAAAGACAGAGACTTCTGGATGGCCAGACTGGGTTTGCAGATAGTTTCTCTCTGGGTGCTGTGACATGTATTTTGGACAAGGATTTTCCAGGTTTTTTCCAGGTGATGAGTTTGGCAATAGGGTTATACAGAAAACTTTGAAACAGGGCGGTTTCTGTATGATTAAAGGTATTAATTTAAAAAAGAGAGGCTGTTCTAGATACAGATGTTGACCATTTAGTAAGACACATTTGGTAAGATAAATACTTGCCCTACTGTTTGCATCTCTCATATAATATGGATTGGACTGGTCCAGGGGCAGCCTTAAGAGATGACGGAAGGATTTTTTCCTAATTGTGCTGCAGCCTTTCAAGAATGCTGTGTAACCTCTGCAAGAGGCATCTGCTGAAGGATATCCTGTGACACCAGTGGGCTTTACCATAATGTGCCTGATTTTCCTGTCATGCCAGTTTTGCACATTAACATAATAACACAACTGTTGGTAGAGTCAGTCCAATAGGTCAGAATCAAGTCCAGTATTTGGAAGCAAAGATGATCTCATAGGTGGTACTGAATGACTTCTGTTTGTCTAGTATTACAGTATTTACCTACATGTCTTCTGCCCTTCTTGCCTCCTTTTTTCTCCCTGTGGGTGGATTTTCCCAGTTTGGGATAGGTTTTGATCCTTATACTTGACTAAGTCTAGCAGTCTTGGGTAAGAACCATAATACTGATTGTCTTCCCTCCCTTTTAAATTATCTGCAGAAAGAGATGGGTTCAACAGAAGACCTTTACCTCTCCACACGAAAAGTGAAAGAGCTCTCTGTGATTGATGGTCGGAGAGCCCAGAATTGTGTCATCCTCCTTTCCAAGTAAGTATGCTAAGCCTTAGCTCACAGGGTATGCCATGGTCTGTGTAGAGGGAAGAGGGGATGGAATTAAACAAATGGACATGTTTCTTTTCCCAGCTATACCTGCTGTCTAATACTGCAGAGCTTCAGAGAAACCTCTCTTGCAGTGCCATAAAAGTTCGTCTCTCTGAAGCATTAGCTCACTTAATGAACATATGTATGCACACATTTTGTGTATCACACACCAGGATATGACTCATCACCAGAATACTATCGATACTCACAGGTAGATGAGAGCAGCTCATTGGCAGTGCTTGAACTTCACTCTAAGTGATGTGTCCCCCTGTGCTCTGTGTGTGTCATTTGTCTCTGTTCTGTATGTTTCTTTCTAAATGTTGCGCGGAGCATCTCCCTGAAATACAGCAGAGCTCAGACTGATGTTCATCTTTGTAATTTTGACTCTTGGTGAGAAGAGAGGTAAATGTAAGAAGATATATTCAATAACTAGGTCTTGTATTTGTAAATTAGGTTTTGGAAGCTGGGAGTTCCATTTGCATGGTCCTGCAATGACTAATGCCTTCAAATGCTGTGACAGCAGAGCACTCTATGTGCTTTTATGGTCTTTCTACCAACATGAGTGCTGGGCTGGATGTCTATCACTAAATATCAAATTTGTGCAGCCACTGATGCACCCCAGAAAGTTGCCTTTCCTACCAGAGGAGGGACAGCAAGGCTGGAGACAGGACCTGGGAAAGCTGTGGCAGTACTGACCAATAAAACTGTTTCACCGATCAAAAGAAATACGGGTTCCTATGGATGTGATTGCTTGTAGGCACTAGCAAGCTAACAGTTAAAAGCAGAGTTGCAGCCAGACCACCAGGACTGGAGTGAGTTCTTTCCATTGCTCAGTGAAACCCATGGAGGCTCTCATTATGCTACTTAGGTGGCATTAGCCTGCGTGTCAGCAGGACCCCCACCACTCAAACCAGTGATGAGAGAAGGCTTACATTTCGCCCTCTGCAGCAGTTGCCAACCCATGTCTTTGCTGGTGTTGGCAGCTGACTGCAGGCTGTGGCAGAGGAATGGGGAGGCATAGGGACAACAGGATTTTCATGCTGTTTGACAGACCTGCTGAAGTGTGTCTGGGGTTCAGATTAACTCATATAAGCAGGTGGAACATTTCCTAGAAGTGGTAACATAATGTGTGCAGGTGGCAGGGCTGAGAAAGGTCCAGGAAGCTGGGCTGTGACTTGGTATGACATTAGATATTTATTTGTAAAAATCTTCTATGACCAAAACAAAGCAGCGTGGATGGCAGCAGTCATGTTTTTTGCCATTCACCTCTTCTGCTATGCAAGGCTGACCCATTGTTACCTGAGAGGAATCCTCTCTAAACAGTTAGGGGAAGAAAGGACAGTCTCTGTGGTTTCTCTTCAAGTCTGTTGCCTGCAGCAAAGTGGCGTTCAAGCGTGTACCTTGCACTTCGGGGTGCACAGCGTGTGATTGCTCCAGGTATGCCATGAGGCCAGTCACCTCAAGCTGCTAGTCTGGGCTCAAACCAGAAGTCAAAAGCTGTGTTTTGTGACTGGCAACTTCTCCACTAGGAATATCCTGGTCTTACTGTTAGCAGACCTCACAGGGATGATAGAGATTCAGAGAATGAGCTTGCTGTCCGAAAGGAGACTGCCAGTTTGCACTTTGCCCTCTGGGGGGGGACTTTTTACAAGGGCCTGTAGTGACAGGACGAGCGGTAATGGGTTTAAATTGAAAGTGGGGAGGTTTAGATTGGATATCAGGAAGAAGTTCTTCATGGAGAGGGTGGTGAGGCACTGGAACAGGTTGCCCAGAGAAGCTGTGGATGCCCCATCCCTGGAAGTGTTCAAGACCAGGCTGGATGAGGCTTTGAGCAACCTGGTCTAGTGGGAGGTGTCCCTGCCCATGGCAGGGGGGTTGGAACTAGATGATCTTTAAGGTCCCTTGCAACCCAAACCATTCTGTGATTCTGTGGTTCTCTTAACTTCGCTGTGCTGCACTTTGGGAAACACCAGTCACCAGGGCTGTCACTGGCTTAGACTATTTAATGTTTGTAACAGATCATGTTACATCCAGGATAACAGAAATACTTTACAGCTTGGCCCAGAATTGCTGTTCTACCACAAACTTTGCTTTTAAATGCAACTAGAAGTGCAAAAATCTTTGGGAAATAAAATGGCACCTCTACATTCATGCCTTTTGTTGCTCTTCGTGCTTATAAGGGTCTATTATTAAAGACAGCAACTGGGAGGATTGGCTGCAGACAATAATTGAAAGGGTTTTATGACTCCTTTGCAGTTTTATTAATTACCTGACTTCTTCCTCCTTTAGTTTAAACCCTGAAGGAGAGACACCTCCAGCCAAATCACCTCTGGCTGCCTCCATGCCTTTGCTGCTCCTGCAGCACACCTTACACGTGTGCATGTGGGTGTGCACACATGCACAGTGAGAGGGGATTTAAAACTGGTGACAAACAAAGAGAGTTTGTGCAACCCTGAGCTGCACCCCCAGCTTTCAGGTTGCCACAGTATCTGCCAACAGCTGTTTCCAATTGACTCTTACTGTGCATATATCCCTGTAGTTTATTCCCCCTTTGTTTACACTAAACTGTCGTGTCCTTTAAAGTAAAATAGCGGCATGGGTTGGGTTTTCCTTCCCTCCACTACTCAAATGTTTTTGTTTTACTAACACTGTGTTAGAAGGGGTCAGGCAGAGCTCATATTTCATATGGTCCAACAAGCCAAAACCTAGCTAGAGTGAGAAGTGGATGTCTCTCGCTTTCTTTTTCAGAGAGACTGAAGTATGGTAGACTGAAAAGAGGAAAATTGAATTGCTAGCTGATATTTGCTGATAGTTAACAGATTTGTAAGCCATCCTCCCCATTCTCATCTCTATTTTCATTTTTTAACAAAAAGCTCTATTTCAATTCCTTGATAGCAGCATCTCTCACTTTTCCTGCAGTAAAAGAATGTAATTGTCCTTGTTTAAAGGAGTCTGATGAATCCACATCAAAGTTCTGTACCATAGGCCAACTGTAAAGGCTTGAATAGGCACAAGATCACTTTATCTCACAGTATTTCCAGTAGGCCATAATTCAACCAGGACATGGAACCATCTGCCTGTGGTGCGTCCAGGCGCCCACCAGCTTCAAATCTGGCTTTCTTAATGGTGTTTCCAACATACAGTTATTTCTGTCACACTGGAAATCTGCTATCCCTCATGAATTTCCTGATGTCTTCACTTTCTACCAGGCTGGAGATTTACAGTCAGCCTTGTGTGGTCTGGAAGAGTCATCCCAGATCCCTGAATTTTCCTGCTTTCACCTAGCAGCTGGAAATTTCTCTGATCTCCATCACCAGTATGGCTTCTCTCTGCCTCCATTACTTTAGTAACAGCTGGTATTTTCACTGCTCTATTGTTTTTGTTGTACCATATATTTAAAGGTTCCTTGTAGAACATGCCTGAGACATGTGTCTCTTACTGTCTTGCACTATGAATGCTCCAGAGAGGTCCAGTTCTATGAGACTGCTCAAAAGAAGGCTGAACATATACTTACGGAACTTTTTTGTGCAAATTATTTTGCATGAGTTCCAGCAAAATGATTGTGTCAGTGTTGTTCTGAGGCATGTTTGTTATTCCTGTGGCCCAGCTAGTCAGCAGTAACCCTCTCAAAAGGCTGGAAACAGTAGGAGTGCTAGAAAAATGTCATAAAACCAGCAGTAGCAGAAGGCAGAATCTGACTACACAAAAATAGTTTTAAATGTGAATATGACAGTAGATAGGTACTAACAGGCAGCATTACCAAATGGTTGTGGCTTTCATGATTGTCAGTTCAAATATCTATTAATAAGGAGAAGGGGCTTGTGGAGGATTTCCAACCAGAATACTAAAGAGACCAATTATTTTTCTCACATAGCTGTGCCTCCTCAGTGCTTCTAAACCCTTTCAGTTCAGACATTAAGAGGACCATTCAGCCAATGTCAGTCTCTGTGTACTGCCTCTGCTGTGCCCCCAGTCCCCGTGTGCCTTTCTGCCATGTGACTATACAGTGTTCACCATTATTTCAAGGTAGATTCCCAGCAGCATGATATTTTGGGTTACAGATCATACCTTTATACAGAAGCAGGTCATTGGACTCATCAGTTCAGTCCCTCACTGTGCTGTCTTGAAAAATACTAGGCAATAGACAGTGCTTCCTGGGTTCCTGGAGCCATACTCTGTTTTGAAGTTAAGGTCCACAATAAATGGCTTTACCTGCTCTTCTGAGTATGATAAACCCCAAGGTTAAACTGAGCACATCACTCAGTGCCATCCTGTCTTAGATCACAACTAAGAACCTGTAGGTAGGGTTGTGATAAAAGATGAACCACTGCCTCATCATATGTCACTGTAATTTGGGGATTCCCAAGTTTGGCCCTGCTTTGCTCTGCTTCACTCAGAAAGATGGCCATCCCCAGGTCCTTCTTGGTAGGAAGTTGGATGCAAAGTAGCGTGGTGAGCTACTTTTCATGAGCCTTTGCTGAAGGAGGAAAAGAAAAGCCTGTTTCTTTATGCACTTGGCAGAACAATTTCACAGTGAAGTGCTGAAAAGCACTGATGGAATCTTTCCCAATATGTTGATATACTGGTGTACGATGTACCTGGTAAAATGTCCCAACTGTTGTTCCCAAAAGATTAAGGCACTGTCGTCTTCACTGATGAATTGTCAGCTGAGACAAAAGGATGTGAAAAGAGCGGCTGCATCTTTCTGTCTTCTGGCTGAATGTGCAGTTAGACCAGACTGACTCTTGAATGCTGCTTCCGAGAGCAGGGAAACATCTCTTTTTCCTGCCTTTATGGGGTAGTGACAATGAGTATTCCCAAAATGTAGTTACTTAACAGCCTGCAGCCTGGCAGTTGTACAGAGCCTTAGGAGAGTTCAGGAGTTGGGGAAAGCTTATGTGCCAGTCACAGAGTTTGGGAGTGAAGTGACTCACAGCCTGTGTGAAATGAGTTGTGTAGATGGAGAAGTCTGCAATCAGTAACAGCTAAGATTTGGGTGAGCTATACAAGCTGGCCTTAGGATGCATCCAAGTATCAATCAGTGCCTCTCATTGCCACAGCTACTACTACCAGCATCTTTTGGAAGCACAGTGGTTCCATCCAGCCTGAAGCAGAAAATGGCCGTGATATATGATAATCAGTCCTTGTCTCAAAGATAGGAGGAGTGGAATTGCAGTCCCTATAGTATGGGAGTCTAATGTAGCTGCAACAAAACGCCACGTTTTCTGGTAGTAGGCAAGCTTGTTTCTTTCTCAAAAGCTGAGCAAGATCCAAGGAACAAGCCCATGAAGTAACTCACTTTTTCCTCGGGGGGGAGACAGTTAATGAGTGACAAGTATTCTGCTTTGATCCATAGGAGAGAGGAATGAAAAGGGGGGGAGGGTACAGTGAGTTAAATCAGTGGATATATTTAAGGAGGAAAAATGAGGGAGCATTGGATGTCTGTAAGGGAAGTTGATGTAAAACTGCAACATGTCTCCCAGGCATGTCCAGAGTCAGGCTGCCAGCTTTCTCCAAGAGGACGAAACAATAAACCACTTGATGTCTGCAAGTGAAGCTGGTGTTAAATCAGCCGAGGTGTCCTGGGGAGATTAGTGATGAATTACTCTGCAGAGTCAATAGAGATTATTTATGAAGCCAGAGGGGATAGAGGGAGGCAGGCTAAGTACCATATCAGAAGTTATTTGGTACTTGTTGAGCTTTAACATTGCTTGAAGATGACTCAAGCAGTTGGACTTCCATATGCTGCCACCAGATGTATGGGTGAGGGAAAAAGGAGCGAGTATTCTCATTAAAGATCCTTCTCCTTCCTCATCTGACCAGCCTCAGGCTGCTGTTAAACAAAACCCATCAATATCTGCTCTATGAAGGAATGTGCTGCAGCTGAGGAAGGGGGCACTGTGTTTCCTTCTGGTCCCATTTACTTCCTGAGTTGTGATCAGGAGCCATGATTTGGTGAAGCCAAGGCAGAGAGAATACAGCTTGAATCATATGCTGTTCCGAATTGAGTTGTCTCCAGCAGCTGGAGGAAGAGGGCCTGGATCTGCAAAGCTTGTGAGGAAGTCATTGCAGACTTTCCAATAGATAATGAGATGTAATTTCTGTAGTGTAAATTTTTGGGCCGTAATTCCACTTTAATTTGTTGTCTGTCCCATATGAGTTTTAGGCTCTGAGGGATGCCTCTATTCAGTTCTAAATGGAAAGTTTCTACACATCTGCTTTAGGTCCCTCTTTAATCAGTTCACCTGTTTCTGTTTAAAAGCAGCACATCTGTTTCCCATTACTGCTGGCCATCTTTAAGATCTACTGCATGGCTGGGCATGAGTTTTGAAAATACAAGAATCACTTGATTAACAATTCTTTGGCCAGTTATTCAGCCAGTTAAGTAGGAAGATCCCTGTTTTGTGCTGTTGATGCTTACAGCTCTTGAAATGGTCCTGCCCCAGAAGAGGAACAAACCCACTTTGGAAGAGTGAGATTGTTTTGCCATAAATCCTTCTGTCCTTGTAATTGGATTGGTAATAATCTAGGATGCACACCTGCAGGCACCGTGACCCCGTTACAGGCCTGTGAGTGACTAAGTTAAATTGCTTCTCATCAGGGGGCTGGCATGCTTTCTGTTTCTCTCTACTGTGGGCTAAATGGTTCAAGCCAGATGTTTTTCTGCTGATGGCAGGGCACAGAATCATCCAAGAAATCCAAGTGTTTGTATAACTGTCTGTCCTTGGGGCTCTCAATTATTTTTGAACAGAAGATGTTTTGAAGTGTATTTAGTGCTGATGAATGGCAGCAAACAGAGGAGCTTGGAGTCTGAAGTCCTCAGGCTCCTGGACAGAACAGCAAGATCAGCAATAACATGCGCTCTACCTTCGGTTGTGTTGACGTACCTCAAACCTGTCTGCTTGGTCCTGTTTACTGCATCCCCAAGCACATGCAGAGGGTCTTGCACTCTGTAATGGAGCAGTCAGTGTAGTAATTGCTCGAGTTACGTGCATGGAAAAAACATGAAACCTGCCCTCATTCTGTTTTATCTTCAGTGAAAGGAGCAAGAAAGCCCCCCAACCTTGGTGTTCATCGGTTGCGTCCGCTCTGACATACCGTGTGCCTGTGTCACAAGGCATAGCTGATCCACGGACTCCAGAATCTGGAAAATGTAAAGGTCCTCTCTAAAGGGAAAATAACCAACAAAATGTAGCACTTCAAAAACTGCAGGCACCAAATTGTCTGAGCATGTGTGTATGTGTCTTCTAGAAGCCAGACCCACACCCAGCGATGTGGTTCTCGGCCCTCCTGAGCTCACAAGGTTTGATCAGTTCAGGGTCACACAACCATGGACTTTACAGTTCACGATTATTAAAGCCAAAAGAAACCCTTCAGTTTTCTGATTGAGACTGTAGAGCTTTATGCAGAATCCCATGTACTGAGGTTTGTTGTTTTCATCCCAAGTCAAACTGATGACCTAAAGTAAAGGGTTTCCAGCCTTTTTATTGTAGAAGTTCTAATCCTTCTGTCTCATCCAAGCGTGGGCCAATTATATAGCTTTTCTGGAAATTCAGTGGCTGTATCTTACTTAGCTGGTATCAGTTTGGCCCCTGTGTCAAAAGTAGACAGGATGACCAGCTAGGAACAGAGTGAGAGCAACTAGTTCAGAGGCGTAATATTTAAAAACTTTTGAATGTCTGCTGATTCATATTTTAGTTTCCAGCTGTTGGTTATATTGGGCAATATTAAAATGTTTTAAGTTTCTTAGATTTAGTAATATTTCCTGTCTGTAAAAATAAAGCTCTTTGCTTTTACCTAGTTCCAAAAATATGATTCGATCCAAATGGCAATAGCAATGTGAAATTTCAACATGGAATTTCTTAGCATGGAAGACAAAAACATTCTGCCTCATGCATCAGCCTGTCTCTCATTTATATTTGCATTTTCTCTTTCTGCCATTAATTGATTATATTGATTGTAGAAAGTCCATGGAGACTGCAGACTTCACTCCTCAAATATATCTTTTCACACTTTCCTGTTTCAGCCCCAAAATGGAGATTTTCATGTGGATAGCCTTTCCTTTATGGTTCATTTGGTCCTCCCCTACTCTCTTGAAGTGACTGATGGGGGTGTCATGGGTAGGGGGTGGTGGGGTAGAATTTGTCACTTGCACATTTGTTTGTTGACATCTGTGCTGAGAACATCAAATTCATTTCATGTAATCTGTCAGAGCGCCTCTCAATAATCACAAATTTTGGCCGCTTCTGGTCTGCCCTGGGTGTCAAGTGGAGACCTTGAGGGTTTTTTTCTAATTGGTTCTGTCTTCTGGTGTAACTGATGACCCCCACTCATTGCGCACAGATGAATGGAAGTAGGTGGGGAGGAGACTGTTATTTTAATACCTCAGATAATATTACTTAGCTCCTGTTTTCAGAGCTTGTTTCATATTGGATATGAAACATGGATCTGTAGAAGCAGTCAATTCCTTCTTCAGCTGTGACTGCTGACTGAGTGAACTTACCTAGCACAACCAGTCTTCTTACAAGAAACCCTTTTCTCAGGGAAAGACCAGTCCCATTGCATGTTACTCTGTGAGATCCTTTAATACACACAAGCAGAAGTGTAACGTGGGCTTACAGTTACAAGTCACATGGATTTGAGGGGGTTTACTATAGCAAAAGAACTTAATGAGGGAGGTATTGGGTGTGGTGGAAGTTGGAAGCACTTTTGATCTATGAGGCCCTGATTATTCTTAATCACCATCTAATTTTTGAGGTGTGTGATTAGCTGAAAAGTATAAAAATATATGATCTAGAAAATCTCTGCCTTTGGAACTGATTCATTCAACTTAATGAATACTCTAGAATAGCAGCTTCATAGTGGCGCTTCCCATGGTAATTTTGTGCCTTTTCAGTGCAGTTTTTCAGGCTTCCTACTTTCTAAACTGTCAATCATTTAAGCTTTGCACTAATGGTACAATGTTGATACTGTTGAAAGGCTGAAGCTGTCTAATGAAGAAATCAGACAAGCAATCTTGAAGATGGATGAACAAGAAGACCTAGCAAAAGATATGCTTGAGCAGGTGAGAAAGATTACAGTCAGATATATCTTAAGTCCTTCACTGCCTTATTTTTTCACCTAAAATAAGTGGATATATCTACATGCTCTGCTGGTATGTCTGCAGATCTGAACGAGGCCCTATCCTGTCAGCAGAGCTGCACATGAGAGCGTGAGAAAAGTATTTTTCCCATTGTTGTCAAATACACCTTCCTCATGAAACTCTATTGGTATCAGGTTGATTTCATAACAGTTTACTCTTCTTGATGCAAAATATGCATGATGACAGTTGGTGTGAGGCTTCCTTTCTGTTATGGTTTAAGCCCAGCTGGCAACAAAGCACCACACAGCTACTCTCTCACTCCCACTGTGGTAGGATGGGGGAGAGAATCAGAAGAATAAAAGTGAGAAGTGGGTTAAGATAAAAAACGTTTAATAGGTAAAGCAAAAGCTGCGCACACAAGCAGAGTAAAACAGGAATTCATTCTCCACTTCCCATCATCAGGCAGGTGTTCAGCCAGCTCCAGGGAAGCAGGGCTCCATCATGTGTAACGGTTATTTGTGAAGACAAACACTATAGCTCTGGACATTCCCCCCCCCTTTGTCCTTCTTCCCCTAGCTTTATATGCTGAGCATGACGTTATATGGTATGGAATATCCCACAGCTGTCCCTGCTGTGTCCCCTTCCAGTTTCTTGTGCACCCCCAGCCCACTCACGGGTGGGGTAGAGTGGGAGGCAGAAAAGACCCTGACTCTGTGTAAGCACTGCTTAGCAATAACTAAAACATCCCTGTGTTATCAACACTGTTTCCAGTACAAATACAAAACGCAGCCCGGTACCAGCTACTGCAAAGGAAATTAACCCTGTCCCATCCAAAACCAGCTCACTTTCATGTCCTCTCTTCTCACCTGTGACATTCCCATATTTTTTCTTCTCTCTTATTTATACTGCTGATTATTTTTTGTGGTTGTTCTTTTTCTTATTATTTCCCTTTTCTTTTTCTTAATCTCCCTTCTCTGCCTGTAGCTTTTCCATTGGGAAATGACATGAACCAGGACATGTAGGTCAGTGGTTAAAGCTGGGACTAGAAGGGATCTTGCGTTCTAGTGGGAATGGTTAGAAGGGGAGTCAGGGACTTCCTGTCCCCTGTGGTTGGTTCACTGCATAGCTTGTGAGGAAAATACCAAACAATTAAACCACCATTGGCAATGTCCCCATTTATAGAGGGCGAAACATGAGGCTTTGAGCAAAGGTGCTTATGGTAAAGTTCCTTAGGAGTGTGCAAAATGTTACAATTCTGAACTGCCTGGCAAATGTGATTCCTTCTTTGTGTCCAGTCACAGTATTTAATCGTGTACAAAAATCTTTTCTATTTTGGAAATTTATAGCCTATTTATCATGTTATCTGAATGCTCACAGCTCCTCTAGCAGCCACTGCAAGTTTCTGATGCTCCACACGTTTGAATACTGCATTTTTGAGGAGTGGGATAAAATATTAAAAAGTAGTAAAAAGCAAAGCGATGGATATGCCTTGTGAGCAGTTTTTGTGGGTGTGCGCTGTGGCTGTGTGCATGGCAACATTTATAGCCATACTAAAGCACAACTACTACCAGTAAGTCAAAAATGTGTCAAAGTATGAGCTTTTAAGGTCATCATATGAATAGCAGCCAGTGTCAGGCACAGATCCAGTCACTTGGTTATTGTTTATTGTTTCAGCAGAGTAGGGCAGACCCAAGAGAGATAGATGAGGCTTTGTGTGTACTCTAGGATAGGCACGATGGGTACTTCACACTGAGTGGGACACATCCTGCTCTTGTTTGCACCAATCTAAACTCCAAGTAATGCTGTGGGAATCAAAGTTCTCTCTGTACTTCCCCTTGGGTAGGTTGCAGTAGCACTTGGCCTTTAGGATTTAGAAATGGGAAATTCCCCCTAGAATTAAAAATTAATCTAATGGGGTCAGTGAGGGATAAAGACAGAACAGCAAGCAAAGGTTTAAAAGTCAGTTTTGTAGCCACAGCTGCACTTTCTGAATTTACAGTCATGTGGCTGAGTCGCTGTAATGCTTCCCTGTGGTAGCAGAGAAATCTGAGGGCCCTCTCTCTCCACCAGGGTTTGTTTGTGCCTCTCTGTCCCTCTCTCCTTTTCGCTGGATCTCTCACCTCAGTGTTTGGTTTGTGTCTGCCACTCTAGCTGCTGAAGTTCGTTCCCGAGAAGAGCGATACTGACCTGTTGGAGGAGCATAAACACGAAATCGAGCGCATGGCCCGGGCGGACCGTTTTCTCTTCGAAATGAGCAGGTCTGTTTGGTACATTATGGGAAAGTGCACTGAGGGCTTCTTGGAAGCAGCTGTAATTGTTATTGAAAATGGATCATCTGGCACAAAGCGGGAATGTGCGAGTGACTGTAGGCCAGCATTATACCCTGCATTTGCCAGAAGCCCACAAATGTTACAAATGTTTCCGTTCATTACACAAACTTTTTATTGACGATAAGCACTCTCCGTGCTGTCATTTAAGGGCCAGTCCCCTGATGACAAGCAGGAATCTGCCTCCTCTGCCTAAACTTGTTCACACAAAAAAGGAATTCAAACCAACTATCGGATGTAGTGTAGCCAAGGGTCAGGATTTCATATAGATCCCTTTTTCCATTCAGCTATCCCATCTCCTCATCCTCTGACCATCTTTCTTGTTCCAATGTTGCTACACCCCCAATCAGGATTAACATCTTGTTCTGCTAATTGAGATGCAGCTGGCATCTCCCGTGACTCTCATATGTTGAGAGCAATGGGAATTCTTCCAGCTTGTTTTCGGTTGTGATCAAAACATTCTTTGAGGTCCTCCATTTTCATAATGAAGTTGATTATGCTGTGTTAGATGTTTGAGCTAGGTCCATAATCCCATGCACAGGCCTTGTGGGACTCAACATCCAACCATTAGATTATGCAGGCAACACAGCGGCCCTGGGCTTCAAAATACAGTTCCAGTTCAGCATTGGCTTTCCTCTGCCCTTCATGCAGGATTGACCACTATCAGCAGCGGCTGCAAGCGTTGTTCTTTAAGAAGAAGTTTCCAGAGAGGCTGGCAGAAGCAAAGCCAAAAGTAGAAGGTATGGTTAAAGCTTTTGCTAAGAGTTGGGTAAAGGGGCGGGGAAGGTCAAGAGAGGATCATCTTCCGAGGAGGTGCTGTTACGTGTGTGCTATGGGCACAGAGCCAGCGAGTCCAAGGCATGTCATGTGCTAAGAAATTAATTTAGTCTGACACTGTTCTTGCACCCGTTGACTTAATAAAGTCATGTTCTTGACTGTTATGCTGTAGATATGACCCGACAGATGTGACAGTGTGCTACCAAGCTGTGCTGAGCTGCCAAAAGCTTTCATGGCCTATCTGTGCAGGTCAGCTCTCCCTTCTCACCCCCAAGTCCTTGCACCTTTCCTCTCCATGGAGCAGATAGAATAGATGCCTCAGGACATTGGTATTCTGGGAATGTATAACTTTAAAGGAGGGTGTTGTGTGGCTTCCATGCCACATCCATGGTTATCACAGACAGGAGGTGAGTGTTTTCTACTTTACATTTTCAGATAAACTCAAGCATTCCCCCTGTTCTCACTGGCTGTGTTTTTCGAGTAGGAGGTCAGGAGAATAGGCTTGCTCCTGGGTTCAGAGGAGCATCCTACAGGCTAGATGTAGTGCACATTCCTTCCAGTTGTCCTGACTCTGTGCGTGTGGGTGCAGGAAGGACAGTACACACACAGACTGTCTTGCAGCATTTGCTGGGCAATAGTCAGACAGTCATTTTAGGGTACTTCAAATTATGGGCCCAAGTATGTTAAAAACATCCATTGTACAATAAACTGTTTATTTTTTTTCCTCTTTTCAAGCCATTCTTCTGGCATCCAGAGAACTCATCCGAAGCAAGCGTTTGAGGCAACTCCTGGAGGTAGTTCTGGCCTTTGGAAATTACATGAACAAGGGCCAAAGGGGAAGTGCATATGGCTTCAAAGTCTCCAGCCTGAACAAAATTGCAGACACCAAATCCAGCATAGACAGGTAGGCTAGAAGGACTCAAATGAGTTAGCAAATGTGCTGCTGCAACTCTTATCACAGTAACGAAAGTGGGTTTTATTTTCAGCTCTGCAGACCATGTAAAGTAATGTGTTATTTGGCATTTAAGTAGTGCTTTTCACTCTAAAAGATCATGCAGCAGTTAAGACCAGCTATTAGCACAGCATTTGAATTCTGCTGTTTCTTTGGATAATGCACATCTGTTGTTGGGTTGTGTTTCTGCAACACTGTGCAAAGATGACAAAATGTAGTATTTCACAAATAACTGAAGTAAGTCTGGGGGGGAAGGAGGATTTCTATGGAATTTGCCCTTTATAACAAAGTTTTATGGTCATGGTTTTGCAAAAAGAAAACACAAGAAACTGACCACAGTTCTGTGTGTCCTGTGAAGCATGGCATATGTTTCTGATGCAGGACTGTCATAAACTGGATCTCCACCTACACCAGTAATGGAACTGCAAGGTGTAGCCCAGAGAGACTGAGCTTGGTTGTATCTAGAGCAGTTAAGGAAAATGCCTGGTTTTGGGAAGGTAGAGCTTACTATTTATGGATATGGGCTGCAGGTCTTTATAGGGCTAGTCCATGTTTTGCCCTGCATCCCCATACTGGTTCTGGAAATTAATCCAGCTGTGACTGGGGAGGGAATACCACTTTTGGACTTCAGCAGCACTCCTTGGAGGTCTCCTATACCAGTTCTTACTAACTCGCACCTTCCCTGACTTGCTGAGACCACAGTTGTGGTGAAATGACTTCAGGCTGTGACCAAATGAATAATGGCAGTAAAAAGCCATAGGAAATTCATCCCTACCTAGCAGAGTTTGAACTAACAGAGTTCTGTTTTGACTACCACGATGTCCTTTCCATATTCCAAGGCTAACACTTGTGTGGCTAGTGTTGAACATTTTTTTGTCTTAATGTAGCTTGGCTTGATGTTCCATATATTAAACGTCCTATGCAGATTCTCTCTCTCACCAGTTCCCAGCTCCCAGGCTCTAGTCTATGTGAAGCAGTGGCCATCTGCTGCCTTGCCTGTCAGTTAACCACATACACCCAGCTCAAGCAGCTGTTATGGCTGGCTGTTCTCTGCACATGCAAAATTCGCTGGTGCAAAGTTCATCATTTACTTTACAAATTTTCTTAAACCTTCTCCTGCATCTCTCATGCATCTCATTTCTATCCACTTGAGCTGCTATTGCTTTTGTAGTAGTGAGTCCAACCACTGCTCCTAAATAGAGCTGTTTCATTACTATAGGAGCTTCCTTTGCAGCTTCTGCAACATTCAGGAACCTTTTTCTCTTCTTAGGTAACTCTTAGCTTTTTTCCACATTGTCACTGAGAACAGCTCACTTCTGTCTTAGGAGTTAATGGCACCTTAGTACCATTACTTGTTTATTCCCTGAAGTATCTGGGAACAAATAGTACACTGTGTTACACAATTTTCTGTTACACCATCTACACAGATGGATGGGAGCATGCTGGTGCTTCCAGAATAAATCAAAGCACAATATATTGCTTGAAGTTTTAGGAAGGATGGTTCATAAAGGGCTAATTCATTTCAGTCTGATACTTTTCTTTCAAAAACAGAGCTGCCAACTGCTGATATATTGTTTGTTTTGTTCATTCAAGCACATTTCCTACCCAAATATTTTTCATTGATTTGTCGCAATCCTCCCACCATCCTTTTCCTTCTCATCACCATCTTCCTTCTTTCCTTCTAATTTCTCCCTTCTTTTTTCTTTTTTTTTTTTTTAGGAACATTACACTGTTGCACTACTTAATTATGATCTTTGAAAAGAATTATCCAGATATCCTAGATATTCAGTCTGAGCTGCAGCATCTCCCAGAAGCAGCAAAAGTCAAGTAAGTCAAGTGCTATTGCTTGTTCCCAGAGTGGTGATTTCTGTTATATAAATGGTCATCCTTGATGTTGTTCAGATGTGCATCAACAGAGAATTTTGGTCCAAAAATGTTTGTAGATAACTAAATTGACAGCATTACTCAGATATGCCTGCATCGACTTTATTTTTTGAACCAGACATTGTTACTGGACTGGTTGTTGTTTGTAATTCACTCACCATATTCCAGTACCTGAAGGGGCCTACAAGGCTGCTGGGAGAGGACTTTTTACAAGAGCCTGTAGTGACAGGACAAGGGGGGATGGGGTTAAATTGAAAGTGGGGAGGTTTAGATTGGATATCAGGAAGAAGTTCTTCATGGAGAGCGTGGTGAGGCACTGGCACAGGTTGCCCAGAGAAGCTATGGATGCCCTATCCCTGGAAGTGTTCAAGGCCAGGCTGGATGAGGCTTTGAGCAACCTGGTCTAGTGGAAGGTGTTGGCAGGGGGGTTGGAACCAGATGGTCTTTAAGATCCCTTCCAACCCAAACCACTCTATGATTCTATGATTCTATGATTGTTCATCCAAGTCAAGTGCTATTTTTTCTGGATAATTGAAGGTTTGTTTCTGAGGCAGAGTCAGTTAGGCACAGAGGCTCTAGTAAGCCCTTTTCAGAAAGATGGTTCAAACTTTTGCACAAATCAGTCTTGCACAGAATGTGGAAAGCATCGTACTTTCTGCATAAATTTCAGTGATATATTTTTCCACTTCTGTAGGTGTTTGTGGAAAATGAATACACAAGCCATCTCCCTAAATACTAACTTTTTTTCTTTTCAAAGCACTACTCAAAAGTACCTTTGCATATTATTTGCAAAGCCATGATTCTTTGTATAGGGAACCACTCCATCTAATGAATGACAAGTACAAAATAAATGTAGGTTCACACTAAAAAACATTTACTAAGGCTTTAGTAATGTTTTTCAGATGTAAACTACTACTTACCTAATACTTGGAGGAGATGCCTACTGAATCACAAATAGGTACTAACTAGTTACCTGGAGATTAGAAGTCTCTATACAAGTTCTAGAAACAAAATCTTGTTTCTATCTGATAAGCAGCGTTTCAGGACAACACTAGAGTCTAGGGAAACATGTATTAACAGTACAGTTATACTCTCAGTCACAACGTCAGTTTGCAAGCACTACCATATGGTAGAACTGCAGACGGAAAAAAACAATGATGTTTGGACTGTGAGGAAGACAAAAATCACATGTAAATATACTGCTAATGGAATTTAGTAGTTAAGTGGTTCAAGAATCATATGCAGAGATAATCTGAGACCCCAGTGGTGTGTGTGCTAAAGCTGGGTTCCTTGCTTACGTGTCAGCTGATTATTGCAATCTGGCCATGTGGCATACGCTCCTTGCTGGAGGGTCAGGCTCAGCTCACAGGCCAGATGTTCCGAGGGCAACCCCATTCTTCTTCCCAGGAAAATCCCAATCTCCAGGGTGACCACAGGCAAGCAGGGTCTGCCTCATCTTACTTCTCATACAAAAAGCAGCACAGAGCATTAATAGACCCCCCTCCCCTCATTTCTAATCATGTGGCATGGCTGGTGCCAGAGGCCGGATACCAGACATGATGGGCCAATGGTCTGTTCTGCTGCACAGTTCCTGTATTCCTGTGTAACACTGCTCTTTTTGTTTTATCTGCTCTGTGTCTGTCTCCTGTGCAGCCTGGTAGAGCTGGAGAAGGAAGTCAACAACATAAAGACTGGATTGAAAGCTGTTGAAGCTGTGAGTATCTGAAGGTTTCCAAAGCACCATCCTTAAAATATCTCACTCAGAATCAGGGGCACTATGTACTGTATAAAAGAGAAAGTGGTCTTTCTTTTTCCGTTCCTTTCCATTCCATTCCAGAATGCATTAACCAACTAAAATCAAATAAAATCTTCTCATGTGGAGCTCCTGCTGATGATCTTAGTGGACTTAAGCCTAATGAAAAGCTTGTTTGGTCTCAGCCTGGAAAGTAAAAGGGCAGTTTGGCAAATGGCATGGTCTGAAAGAAGAAATAAAGTTCTTGCTCTTTCTTTCTGAGGTCTGGCTGGCTGCTGAGCAAGTGTTTCACATGGCTCTTGGAGTAGGAGTAAACAGGTAGTGCACTGGTATATGCAACCCTAACCTATCCTAAGCACTCCTTGGGAAGGCAGAGGAAAAGATAGACTAGTTAAAGATGAGAGAGCTGAACTGGCAGGCAAAGCAACAATGATGTTTTTTTCTGCTATTCATGACAGCCTTTTAAGCTGGACTTAGGTTACCTGTGTTCAGTTTGTGCTTAGGTAGGGCAGAGCCTTCCATCCCAACAGAGAACAGTACAGACGTGCACTGATGCACTTGTGTGAACTGAATGACAAGAGTTAAAGATGAAAGGATGGGCCTAAACGCTCTCTACAGCCACAGCTTCATGTGTCAGCTGTGGTTCCCCTACCCGGAAACCCCCTTTAGTCAATGTGTTGGGTTTGTTTCTGGGGAAAGACTCCCGCCTTCATGATGTGGGAGAGCATGGAGCAGGACAGTGAGTTCTGTGGCGGGAAGTAGGAACTCTCATGTTTGCTTCTTGCTTATGCCATTGACACACGTGTGTGGCTTTGAACCACCCCACGCATCTGCCTCCTCTCTGTGAAATGGCAGCTACAAATGCCTACCTCCCACGAGGGCTGATGTGAGGAATGGCAAGTTAGCGTTTGCACAGCAGTTGAAAAAGTAGATTGAAGGCAGAAGTTACTCTGTTGTCTCTGTCCCTTAATGTCTCCCATCATCTGCACAGATAAACATAGTCCGACCCTAAGAACGTCATTCTCTCTTCCTGCAAGTATAGGAACAAAATCCTGTGTTCAGGCTGGTGCTGGCATCTCTTGCTTGTTGGATGGACTACGGCAGTCGTGCTGAGAGACACGTCAGAGTCTTTGGAGCTCTAGAAGGTTCAGCTGTTCTTTGCCCTTCTAAACAGGCTTTTATTAGCCACACTTTTCAGTGTTGCTCTGTTTTCAGGATATTTCACCTGTCTTTTTGAACTCATGTCAGTTCAGTGCTATTGGAGCGTTCCAGTTGGGGAACATTCTGCTCTGGGACTGCTGGCAAAGGGACCAGTTGTTGAGAATTGTGTTGGTTGGTTTCTTTGCAAGGATTACCTGTATAGAATGAACTAACACGGGACCCTCCAGTCCTCCTCGTCCACTATGAGACAGACAATGATGACTTCATTCTCCCTTCACTTGGCTCGAGTTTGGTTTGGCTCTGGGGGTGGCGGAAGGGATCTTTGTCCTGCAGCCCCAGGCAGTCTGGCTGTCTCCAACAGTTCATCATGTAATTAGCCAGTGATCCTCCCATGAAAAACCAAACTTTCCAAACCTTATTTCTGGATTGTTGGGGTAAGGGAGGACAGAGCAATGAGAAGAGATACTGCTGCATACATGGAGTGCAGTGTTTGGGAATTAAAAGCACCTGTAAAGGGAAGGCTAACATGGAGTTCATGACATGAAGAGAGGCCCAGTTTTGGCTGGGACAGATGATTCACCCCTTGAAATGTGAGAACCCGCTTCTGTTTTGCTTTCTGTGACCGGGTGATTTGTCCTTTTGCGAGCCCATTTTTCTTCTCTTTCCCATACATGGGTTCCATGGGCAACCTCTTCTTCCCATTCAATTACCATCTTCCCTTCTCAGTCTTCCCCCTGGTGTGGTATTTTTCATCTGGGGCTGCCAGCACCTCCCAGTCTGCTTGCTCAATTCACGGTTTTCTGGCGTGTAAAAAGCAGCACTATAGCAACAATAGAAGATCATTGTCAGGTGGAAGGGGGAGGAGGGGAAGGTGTGATTCTTGATTCCATTCCAGTGTGTTCTCACCACAGCCTTGGCTCCACTGACTGAGAAGTTTCTTCAAGGCCCCTTAAGCACAGAAAGCTAAAAATAGTTTCACAGTCAGATATTCTTAAAGGTACTGCTAACCCTTTGCCTTCCTGGACTTGCAGCTTCTTTCTGAAAATAAGACATACTTCATTTGTCAAGACATGCATGCAGTTGTTGCCTTTGTGTAGGATGCTCCCAGAAGGACAACTAAGTAGTTCTTGGTCTTCTCCAAATCAGGAAGGGAATTCTGTCAGCAGAGCCCTTCTCTTACACAGCAAGGAGATCATAACCGCTGCTTGAGAAACCACTGCCGTGGCTGAATCACTGCATCTCTCTAGAGAACCAGCAGCCCAGCCCACCAGGAGCAGTGCTAGCTTCCTCTATTGTGCTGTCATGACTAGCATAGACCATTTCTAGGAGATATAGAGGAGTTCCTTATTCTCTGGCATCGCTCTCAGGCTGATTACATAGTCATGCTGGTTACTTGTGTGGGGTTTTTTATTGTGGAAGAATTATTCTGCAGGGAAGGACTGAATGTGAAATTGAAGGGCAGATCCCCTGATCTTAATTTTACTTTGAAAAACATTGCTCTCCAGGAACGGTCCCAAATGCCATAGCTTTCAACAGTAAGATGACAGAACTGTTATACTCATCTACTTGGGGAGGGTCGGGAGGAGGGGGTAGAACCACTTTCAGCTAAAATTAACTTATAAATTAGAATGGGAGTGTCTGAAAAAAAAAGCATAACTCTTAGAAGTATGTGAAGTGCCATTTCCTGTAATTGTAAGGTCTGATTCAAAGTGACTGTAATGCAGAGACAATTCATTGCAAAGTGATGTAACTGATCAGTGATCCCGGGCCCGTCCCTTGTGATGCATTAGGAAAACCAGTGGAGAAGAGGATGTAATATAAAGCAGGGGAAGTAGCACTTCTTTAATGTGGGCTTTTCTCTGGCCACCTGCTCATGGCTTTTCCTGTCCCTTTTCTGCCTTGTGATCTTACCTGGTAGTGGTTACACGTTCTCTCTCCAGCTCATATCAGGCCAGAAGAAGTATCACATCTGATTTTAGATTGTTGATGGCCAAAGTCATTCTTTGCATTCATCAGCACAGTGGAACAAATTCCAAGGAGTTTCTCAGCATAGATGTTTATAAACCTACCCCTTTGGCTCTCTGACCCAGTATTTTGATGACCAGTAAACATGCATGTAGCTGGAGTTGCAGCCAGCACAAAAATATTTTTTTCCAAAGGGAACAGAGGGTCAGAGCGTAGCTTGACCTGCTGTTTCATGCTGCTT